ATTAAAAAAAAAAAAAAAAACATATTTTCCATATTGGAAAACCCAAAAAAAAAAAAATCGATTGATCACGTTTTTTGTTTTGTTTCTCGGCAGGTGAATGGAGAGAGAGAATAATTATTAATGAAAAGAAAGATGGAAAAATTAAGTCAGGTAAATCGTTAACAAGAAAAAAAAATCAAAAATCAACCCCTTCATCAACGACCTGATTATATAATAATAATGATGATGACCTTCAAATATGTAATCCAAGAAAAGAACGAAAGAAAATTAATTCTAATTAATTTGAAGGTCACCCCAGAACAGACCAGATATTTTTTTGTTTTCCCACCACTACTGACCTAATACCTGGATTGACTGTTTTAATTTTTTTATTTTGTTAATCAGGTAACGATTGAGAAATAGATACCGCGAATAGATTGTAATTCATTCATCCATAAAAAAACAAAACAAAAACAAAATAAAACAATGTTTTCTTTATGGACAGGAATTGATTTGACCTAAACATTATTATTTTTTTTTTTTCGTTTGTAAACAAAAAGTTTATACGTGTCACAATAATCAAGTCAAATTATTAAGTGCAACGACGGATGATTACCCTAAAGATGCCAAACAACAACAACAACAACCAGCAAAGAAAAATGTTCGACAGACAATTGATTTAAATTGATTGAAAAATTATTATAATCATCCTCATCATCACTGACGATTATTATAATCAAAAAGTCTACTTTGATGAACAACCAAAAAAAACAGTCAAGGAAAACATTTTTTTAAAGGGAAAAAACAACAACGAAAGAAAGAAAGAAAATGCCTAAAGAACCCAAAACGAATCGAAAAGAATAGGTCGAAACAACGAAACGAAACGAAAACAAAGATTTAGTTCAACTACTATATGCGTACATAATTTCAATGCCTAATTATCTTTTTCCTATAAGTTATTATCAGGATGATGTTTAAATGATGAGATGATTTTTTTTTGAATGACATTTCTTCTTCTTGGCGTATATTTAACCCAATTTTCTTTCGGTTTTTTTGATCTGAATCGTTGATGTTTAAAGTTGTCTAGGGTTTTTCGTTGATGCATCAAGTTGGGTCATTGTTTTTTGATTTACATTTTTGAATATTTGATTGGGCGCCATCATTATCATCATTTTTCCAGTTTTGCATAAAATACAATTGATGATTGGTTGTTGTTGATGGGGAAAAAACCATAGAATATTAAAAAAAATCACATCGTTTAAAATGAATTCAAGGAAAGAAGAATTTTTTTTTGAATCTTTACGATGATAATTATGATGATAATGATAATAAGCCAAAAAAAAAACAAAGTTTTATACAGATTGATTGATTGATTGTTTGGTTGTTATTATTCATTTTTTTGCTTGAAACTTTTACATTCATTTGATACAAATGTAAATTTTGTTGCTGTTTTCGTTGTTGTTGTTGTTATTTTTGGAGCTAATCGATTCCATTTCAAACAGAAGAAAAGATATTTAAATTTTTTTATTTAAAATCCGAATTTTTTTTTTGAAAATTCACCGGGAACTGATGATTTTCTTATCCTGATAATGTAACTAACTGTATTTTCGTTCTTTGTTTTTTTTTCTTGTTCAATCCAACAATGTTTTCTATAGGAAAAAGTCGTACATTGGCCAAAAGTTCTCATAAGGTAAGCCATCAGCAAAGCTTTTTCCATTGATTTCTTTGATAATTTTATTTGATCTGATTTTTGTTTTTTTTTTGTTTATTTCATTATACAGTTATTAACATCATTGGGTATTGTTTTATTTCATGCACTTGATTATGGTTTATGTGATGATGAAGAACGTACATTAAGTAAACCATTAGAATTACTTATTGAACGTTTGACAACGGCACATGAATTGGCCTCAAGACATCATCATCATAATCATGATCGACAAAAATCATCAATAAAACGAACAACACGAAAAAGAAAATTCAATGATAAAAAATGTTCAGCACCAACAACCGTGGCTACATCATCGATATCAGCACCTATCACATCAACAACATCGACAACAGCTAGAAATGATAATCAAATGAGTTCAATTGGATCAATATGTTTAGATGATGATGATAATGATGATCATCACGATCATGATGATGATATTGTTATGGAAGATAATAATGATTACGATGATGATAATGATGATGACTTTGATGATGATGATGATGAATGTGCTATGGCTGATGAAGGTATTGAACAAGATTGTCATGAATATAGTGGTCATGAAACAACAACATCATTGAATGGTTCACCACCTTCAACATCATCATCAACAATAACATCATCATCATTACCGGGATATAATCATTGTCGAACGAATAATAAATATTTACTTAATTTTGATCATGTTATGCAGGTAATTCTTAATTCTTGATTGATTTTTTTTTCCACTAAAAAAATCCTTTTTTTCCTAAAAAAAAGATGTGTGTTTCAAGATTATCTTGTCAAGAATCAGCCGATAATCATTATAAAGCTGTTTGTCGTGCATTATTAGCCGAAACATTAGAATTATCAACATTTTTGGATCAAATAGCCAAAGGAACTAAGGTAAATTGATCGATCAATTTGATTTGAAAATTAACAATTTGTATTGATTGATTATAATTTTGTTTTTATAAAGGAATTACGAAAATCATCTGTACTGAGAATCGAATCATCATCATCATCATCAAACAATAATAATTTAAATAATATTGATGATAATGATGATTGTACAACATTAGAACGATTACAATTTCATGATTGGGCACGTCTTTGGATACAGGTGATACGTGAATTAAGACATGGTGTAAAATTGAAAAAAGTTAATTATCAACAGGATTCAATATTTAATCATCATCAAGAATATGAATTAACACCATATGAAATGTTATTGGATGATATACGTTCACGTCGTTATAAATTGAATAAAGTTATGATTAATGGTGATCTACCACAACGTTTGAAAAAAGATGCCCACGAATTAATATTGGATTTCATAAGATCACGACCACCATTAGTACCGGTATCGAATCGGGTGTTGAAACCTGCACCACCAAAACAGGTAACCATATATGAAAAACTTATGGATTCTATTCGTCAACAAGAACATCGATTACGACCAACATCAACAAAACAATATTCATTTTCAGCCAATGTAACTCCATTACATTTTTCAACAGGTATGTTTTTTTTTGTTTTGGGCTCTAAACTCTAAACTAAACAAACTTTTATTTACTTTATTTACTTTATTATAATCACCATAAAAAAACACTTTTATCTAGCTAATGAAAATAATGGTAAAACAACAACAACAACAACAACAACAATGGTACAATCAACAAACAATTCAAATCAAAGGCTTGGTTCAACAACAACAACAACAGTAACAAGACGTAAAAAAGTTATTAAAGCTGATATAAAATTGGATCTATTTTTGGATGATGATGATGATGATAATAAAAGTATTAATAATAACGATGATGATGATGAAGAAATTATTGTTGAAATTCCAACAACAACAACAACAAAAAGATCAACACGATCAACAAGGCCAATGTCGGCATATTTTTCATCGGAAATTCAATCATCATTGGAACATCATCATTATGATGAGGATGATGATGAGATTCAAAATGAAAATAATGAATCAAATGATTTGATTATTGATGATGATGATAATAAGCCATTTCAAAGGCTTAAAAAACGTAAGTGTTAAATTTAGTTTAGTTTTGTAGTTTAGTTTTGGAGAAAATTATGGAGAATTTTCGTTTTTTTCCCCTTTGATAGTTTCGAATCAATTTTTCGCAAAAGAACGTCGCCATTCAATAAGTGTTTGTGATCTTAGTACATTGGAAAAATATCAACAACAACAACAACAGCAAAATGCTAACGATATAATCGATGATTTAGATTTTGATGAAGATCATCGTAATCATGTTGCTGCAATTTGGGAAAAAAATGATTTTGGTAAATCATTAGAATGTTTATCATTAACATTGAAAGAAGTACAACATATACGTTCAGTATTAACAAAAGCTGAAATTGAATCCCTTGGTGTAACAAAATCATTGAAAAAAGATTTAGAAAATGGAAAAATTTGTTTTACATGTTTGAAAACACGTTTTACATTTTGGGGTCCATGGGCTACCGTTTGTAAACTATGTAATCGTTCAATTTGTGATAGGTAATTTTGGAAATTTGATTTTCTTTGAGTAATTTACAAATTTTTTTTTAATTTTTTCCTGTTTGTTTGTTTTAGATGTGCCACTAAAATGCATATACCAACCGAACAATTTGATCGTGTACCAATCTATATGCTATCACCAACACCATCACCACCAAATGAAAAACATGTATTGGATATGTTTAAATTTGCTAATAACAAAGATCATCATCATCATAATCATCATGGTGATAATAATCGAGAAAAACAAAACGAAAAACCCGAAGAAATTGATAATAATGAAAATAATGAATCAAAATCATTACCAACCAAATTAAATTCTTCACGTAATCGTATGACAAAATTAATGCGTATGCTATTGATTAATAATAATAATAACAATCGAATGTCACAACAAAATAATGTTGATGATAATGACGATAATGATGCTAATGAAGATTATCATTATCATGGACCTCTAGTCAAAGTTTGTCGTGATTGTAAAATATTGGTACGCCATCTGATTAATATTGGACATACTAATTTTAATGGTGTAAATTTTCAATCAAAATCAAAATCAAATCAACAACAACAACAACCGACGATGATATCAACCGATTAAAGGGAATCAATGAAGAAATGGATCGCTGTGATATTAAAAATGAAAAAAAAGAAGTTTTTTAGCAAAGTTTCTTGAATGCTAATTGGATCATCACTTACCTTATTGATTAAATCACGTGATTTATTGCGCAACAAATATACCCCGCGGTTATTATCATTCACAAGAAAAACTGAAAATCGCACACACACATAGACATTATTTATTATTCAACAAAGCTATTAATATTCCTTGAAAAAAGAAGAATTATTGTTAAAATTATTTGATTATTTTGTTTGATGTTTTCATTTGACGACTACCTCTTATTTTATGTGTTTTTGTTTGATTGTTTTTTCCGACAAATATCGATTGTATCGATATCGATATGATTCGAATTGAGAATGCAAATGATTCGAATGAATTTTTCGATTCGAAAAATATTTGAAATTAATTTTGAAAATAAAATTGTTTTGAAAAAAATGTATTTGAATTTTGTTTTTTTTGTTTCTATCGACTATATCCGAAAAAGAATCCGAAAACATAATCATCATTAATTATTTTTTTTCTTGTTTAAACAAGGAAATTTATCTCCCTTCGTTTAGTTATTTGGTTGGATAAACAACAACAAAATATCCAAAATAAAAAAACATCAAGAGAGACAGAAAGTAAGTATTAGAAAAAAATGATAAAAATAATGACTGTTTGACATAGTCAAGTAGTTATTTTTTTCACACAAACAAATCAACAAACAAAACAAAAACAACAGCTACATAAATGATCATTTAGATTTTATTTTTTTTTCCACATTCAAAAAAATGATCATTATCATTATCAAAATATTTATTACATATATTGACTTGACTTGACTAAACTCTCTCTCTATGTAAATGTTTAACAACAAAAAACAACAATTTTGTTGCTTTTTTAAACACACACACATACCAAACATTGCTATGGATAGATTTTTTTTTCATTAAAAAAGTATCCAAAGCAAAATAAAAAATCTGCGACTGATATGAATTGACAGCAGCAACAAGTGATCATCATCTTTTTGTTTGTTTGTTTTCATCTGTAATCATTTTCAGGTTCTCTCCATCTTTATCTATCTCTCTCTCGATTGCTTGTCTAAAAAAGCCAGTCTATAGCCCATTGAGATTAATGTATGGGAGTATAAAAAAATGCGGGGGTGTTAATAAAATAGAATTCAAATATTCTTCTTTTGTTTTATTTGAATATGGAGAGAGCTAAATTATCACATAACTTTCATATGTTGCGCCCATAGATACCAGTTTTCTCTCTGCTATCTCTCCCGCTCTCTCTCTCTCTCTCTCTCTCTCTCTCTCCATTTTTTTTCTGATTGGCGCGATTTTTGATTATATACTTTTCACTCTGTTTATCTTTCAACAATGTAATATGGATGTATGAAAATTTTTTGACACTGGTGGTGGTGGTGGTGGTTTCGTTTCGTTTCTCCATTGTCCATTGTTGAAACAAAAATATTTCACATGCTGCCACGGCCATTTTCAACGATATTACCATGCATATATACTCATCGCTGTGATGAATCATCATTGTTATCACCAATGATGATGATTAGGTGTGGTCGTGGTTCTATAGCCGAGACTGCTGCATAAATGCAGCAGCAGCAGTTGCCGCCCTTCCAAGCAAGCTTCAAGCATTTATTGCTGGTGTGATGGTATTTCACGTAAGGGTATTTGCCGCTAGTTTTTTTTTATTTGCTTTGATTTTTTCCAAATAAAAAAAACTGCGGCTTTTTTTCCTCCTGACCATCATTTTTCTGCTTTGACAAACCAAACAGCAAACAGCATTCCTCATTCAATCTTCAAACATCAAATATCGCAAGCCAAAACCAAAAGGATTTAAAATTTGTCAATCGGTGTGGTGTGTCTTGTCATTTGTCATTTTCAATTTTTTGTTTTCTCCCGAATTTGTTTGTTTCATTGTCTATTTAATCTCTAAAGGTAAGTTGAGAATAATTTCCACTAATTCAGCTAAATTTTGCTTGGTTTTTTTCAGCTTTTTTCAGTTTTTCAGCGAAAACCCAAACGAAAGAAAAAGAAAAAATGTCTAGCCCAACGAAAGAAGAACTTCCCCGAATTGATGATTGTCTTAAAAATGAATTGGTCGGCGAACATAAATTAAAACATACCGAAACACAGGAAAAAGTGGTACTTCCTTCCAAAACTGGTATGTAAAAAATTTTGGATTTGTAAAAAAAAAAATTTATTTATGGAAATCTGTTCTATGAAAAAAACATTCATTCGAATCGAATCGATTCATATTAATGACAAAATTTGAGCCGTTTTTCGTCGTACATCCGTTTTTTTTATTGCTATCAAAATGCCATCAAACTTTTTTGTTTATTGTTTTTGATAATGATGATATGAACGACGATTTTTTAGCCAAAAGATTTCGTTGACATTTTATTATCGATATTGATTTTTTTTAAAATTGAAATTAATCAATTAACATTTGTTTTGTTTTTGTTTTTTTTTCTTTTTGATTATTTTAGAAATTGAACAAGAAAAAGGCCAACAACAATTGCTTAAAAGTATTGAAACATTTGAAGCAGAAAAACTTCATCATGCTAAAACCGAAGAAAAAAATCCTCTACCAACCAAAGAAGTGATTGAAGCAGAAAAAAAGGCTTTAGCCTAAAAATTGATCCAAGTTGATCATTTTTATTTTATTTTCCATTTCATTTTTTTCTAATCAAATTTATCTGATTAATCAATCATTCCCGATGATTTTCAAACATTTTATATTCTCTCTCAACACAAAAACAAAACAAACAAACAAAAAAATGTTTATTTTCTTTATTCCAGTCATTTTCAAACAAATTTACAAAAATGATATTTAAAATTTGACAGAGCAAAAATAAAGATTATTTTTTCATAAAGAAATGTTTTTCACTATCGTCAATAGATGGCAGCACTTGTGGATAGTTATAATTAGGGTTTATGTTCGAATTTCTTTAGAAAAAGGATTCAGCAAAATTTGCCAGGAAATCAAAAAATTTTGATAAATTTTTTAATTTTTGAAAATAAATAACATTTATAATCGATTGATAAATATTTACAAAGGAAGCAGTAAATAGAAAATTTCCACACACAAAAAAAATATATAGTCAAACTGTACAATGTTTTTGTTTTCACTGAATTTGAGATAAAAATTTTGAAGAAAAAAATCATCATTTGTAACACAAAAAACAACAACATTTTGATTGAATGGAGCAATTGATGTAGCAAAAAAATTAATTAATTGATATGTTGTTGTGGCCGTTTATTCAATCGTAATAATGGCAATTGATTTGGTCTATAATTATCATCATCATCATTATTATTATTTGGTGATTGTGATGATGAAGAATCCGAACCTGATGTCTGTAGATGATCATGATTGTTTGATGAAGATGATGATGATGCGGGTGGTTTTACCGGTGGTGGTGTTGATGATGATGATGATTGGGGTGGTGGATGATTATAAGAACCATATAAATTATTTGGTCCATTTGTTGTACTTTGAACATATAAATCATTATTACGTTTATAATGATTTTCAGATGCATCACAATCAACTGTATTTATAAAACGACAAGTAAATGTTGTCTGATCAAATAATGTATAATTTGGACAAAGAAAATCATAACGTTGATGACCAATAGCACAATGATGATAAACTTGACATTTTAAATCAATATTAGCATAATAACCATCATGACGACCTTTACAATTAAAATCTGTTTCTGGTATCGATATATAAAATGGATAATCAGTAAGATCAGCACCTTTTAATTCATATGGAAAATTTGGATCAGCATTATAATCAATTATACGTCCATCTGGTCTTGGTTTATAATTTGGTGATAATGTTGTTGTTGTTGTTGTTGTTGATGGTTCAGTTGGTTTTAATGGTTCTTGTTGTTTTCGATGTGGTAATAGTTCAATATCATCATCACGATGATGATGATGATGATGATGATATCTTCTTCTTCCTCCACCACGTCGACGATGTCCTCTACCACGATGATGATTATGTCTATCTCGTGGTCTCCTTGTAGTTGTAGTTGTTGTTGTTGTTGTTGCAAGATAATCATAATCATCATCATCATAATCATCTTGATCATAATCTATTGAATAAATAAAAAAAAAGTTAATTTTTTTCCGGGAACATCAAAATGGGTTTCAAAATATTACCATAATAATCACCATAATCATAATATGGTTGTTCAGTTGTTGTTGTTGTAGTCGTTGATGTTGTTGTTGTTGACGATGTTGTTGTAGTTCTTTGTCGTCTTCTTTGTCTTCCTGGACCATTTCGTCTTGGCTTAAATTGACCAGCACCATATCTTCCGCTACCACCATTATTATTATTTTCCAAATTAATATTTTCAATATTATTACTATCAATTGGATTTTCAACTTGGCTCAATATTCTATTGTTTGAATTTGTTTGATGATCCGAAGAAGAAGAAGAAGAAGAAAATTGTTGTTCGGCATTATTTTTGGCTAATAATGATGGCCGTGGACTGGTTGTTGGTAATCGTACCGAAACAGGCCTAGGCCGATAATTTGGTTTTACTGTTGTTGTTGTCGTTGATGATGGTGATGGTGATGGTGATAATGATGATGATGTTGCTGTATACATCATATCATGATTTTGAAATTCTTCTTCATAATCATCAAGGGAATATATCGGTGGCGGTGGCAGCGTTGTTGTTGTTGTTGTTGCAAAATTTTCAGGAATATTTCCAAATGTATGATTAATCAATGGTGGCCAATATTGATGATCGCTGGATATTTTTTGACGAACAGATTTCTGTGGAATGCGTACAAATGATTGTAGTTGTTGATGCAGTTGTTGCTGCTGTTGTTGCTGTTGTTGTTGATTCTGATGCTGTTCTGTATCATCTGTATTCGTTTGATCATTATCATCCATTATAATCGAATCAGATTCTTCATTCGAATTCGTTGGATTATCATCTAATAAATGATCGGAATTTCTTGTAAAAAATGGCATATGTCTATTGTTTACACTATATTTATGAAACACCCAAAAGCAAAAAAAAAAACATTCGAATTAGAAAAAACAAAACATTCGAATTCTTATTTTTTTCATTGTTGTAAAACTTACCGTGGATGATATGCCATTATAATTGGACGATATTTTGGAGGCGATAATGATGGCGGCTGTTGTGGCTGTGGCGCCGGCTTCAATAATGAAGAATGAATTTGTGGCTGATGATTATGTTGATGTTGTTGTTGATGATGAAGATGGCCATAATTATTTTGTGGTGGATGTAAATATTGTAAATTAATTGCCGATTCATATTGTCTTTGATCACGATTCGTTTGAGGATAATATGGTGACTGTTGTTGTTGTTGTTGTTGATAATAATTATAATTATTACCACCATTAAATTGACTTATGGCAAAACAATTTGGACAATCATCACTTAAACTTAATTCATATTCTAATGACATGAATGCCATGAACATATCTGTTGAATTGAAAAGAAAAAGGAAATGATAACGAAATTTATTAATGACCCGATATTATTACTTACAAAAAATGAATGCAAATTTACGCATTTTGAAATGATTTGGCTTCGATTAATTGAAGAAAAACAAACAACAAACAAACAAACTGAAAATTGATCAAATATCATAAATGAAAAGTAATGAAAATGTTTGTTTATTTATGATCCATAAAAATCACATAATCAAAAGAAAAACTGTCATACTTTTTGTTTTCCTTTTCCTTTTTTTTCTCGTTTGTTGTTGTTTACACTATAGTTGTTTTTAAAACAATAACTTCTTCAAACAAGTGGTCATTTTTATTGCTGTTTGGTTGTTTTGTTTGGATCAAAGTTCCACGAAGATTTGTCAATGTTTATATGGTGAATTGATAATGGTCATCATTGAATATGAACTGCTGATAATATGTTTAATATGAATAACAACATGATTGAAAAAAATGATTGCATAACATATATGATATATATCATTTCGATCGATTTTTCAACAAAAAATCAATCAAATTGATGGTGGTGGTGGTGATGATTGTGGACACACATCGTTGTTTGAAAAAAGTAAAGTCAAAATCATGAATCCACAGCAACAACAAAAAATGATGTTAAAAACATTACGCCAGGTGCTGTTGATACCTGTGTGTCTGTTTCAATTTTTGTTTTTTTTTGTTTGTCGAGGTGTCAATCAGTAGCTAGCTATCTAGTCACATCATTCTCATTCTCTTCAATTAGATTTTTATTTTTGTTTACAGAAAATGAAATAAAATATGAAAAAATTTTTCTTTGAATCAAGAAGTAGAGAGTCTTGAATCTCTGTTTCTCTTTTGGGATCTTGTTTTTTTTAACACTGAAGTTTCAAGCAAGAACTTAACTTTTTTTATTTTGTTGTTTCTCTATTTGATGATGATAATATTTAAGACTTTCTCTCTCTCTCTCTCTCTCTCTCTCTCTCTCTCTCTCTCTCTCAAATTATCACCGATCATCATCCTAGACACTACTGACCTAGTTTTTGTTGAAGATATCTTTGCCTGACAACTACCACCACCACCATCACCACCATTATCATCCGCCACCGTCGTTGTTTATATATCGAGACGAGGACGATTATGATTATGATGATGATTATGATGATTATCATCATGTTCAAATCCATCCATGATGGTCCAATGATCTTTTCAATGTTGTTCTTCGACTTTTCGTTCGTTCGTTCGTTCTTCGACTTACTTACCTTCATTTTAAAATCTTTTATCATTATCATTACGAATATATCTCTATGGACGAAATCTCGAATGAAATGAAAAGAACCATTGTTTTGTTTTCGGTGAATATATTTGACCATTGACTGACCGGTTATAGCTGAAATAATAAAAATAATAAAATAATCCTCAGTGTGACAATCCAGAAAAAAGCTTCAGATTTCTGATTTATTAATAGAAACACACATAGCACAAAGAACAAAGAACAAAAAACAAAATCAAACAAGGTAATTCTGTTTTCTGTTTGTTTGTACTGAGGGATATTGGATTAACATTTTTTTGTTTGTTTTGCATGTAATATTTCCATTTAATTGAAAAAAACAAATTTGTCAAAATGCCTGAAGGTTATGACCAAAACAAAAGATTTCAATTGTTCCATATGGAACAATACAAGGTGTTCCATAATAGTGATCCATAATAATAATTGATGACATTACTAAACATGGTTGTCAACAACAACAACAACATTAGTAACGATAATTTCATGAAAATTTTGACATAATCCAATTATCATGATCAATGAGATTCGATAGGAAATCAACAAAAAAAAAAGCAGAGAAAACGAAATGTTTTCAATAACATGTTTTTTTTTAAAAAAAAAGAAAGATCATCATCTGGATCTGACCTTCGTCTTTGTCTTCGTCAACATCATGATCGAAAAGAAAGAAAAACAAACAACACTTGGCTCCCACACTTTTAGTCAAAGAAAGAAAGAATAATATTCTCTTTCTCTCGCTCTTTTTTGGATTTTCTATGGTCAAAATTTGTTAAAAAACATTGATGCTATGTTCAACACTACACACTGTTTATCTGTGTGAAATGAGAAAAACATTATCATTATCATCATCATCCGACGAGAAACAATTTTTGTTTTGACTGCTAACAACAACGAACGAATGAACGAACGAATGGTGATCACATCAATTTCCTATGAATGTCGATCACAAATAAATTCATTTATTTCGAATGAATAATGTTTGTATTATAGATCAATAAACATTTTCATAATAATGATGTCCGAACATTTACAGAAACAAAAATATTATTATTATTATTATTATTATTATTATTATTATTGTGGTTCAAATTGAACGATGCAATAACAACAACAACAAAATCCAATTGGAGAGAGAAGCAAGAAAGATTAAAACTCAGAGAGAGAGAGAGAGAGAGAGAGAGAGAGAGAGAGAGAGAGATAAGGAGAAAAAAAAGAAGGAACCAGTTTCTCGATATAAAAACCGCCATTATCATCACCACCACCTACACACTTTTACGAAGAAAAAATGAATGTTATAAAAATATGACACATTAGCGGTGGCCATCATTATTATTATTATTATTATTCAGATAAATATTTTTATTTTTATTAGTATTTTTATATCTAATTTGAAGAAATATAAGAAAGAAAGAAGAAAATTACATTACATTACATTTTGAAAAAAAAAGAAACTATCATTATAATAATGGTTATTATGATCAACGAATATTATTATTTATCAATAATAAAATGACAAAAATTATGGAAGTGAGAATCAATGTTTCTGTCCAATGTGTGTGAATATTAGAATCTCTTGTGTTGCTTTTTGACATAACATAAGAAAGAAAAAACAATGTTAAAGATTACATAGGCTAATTGAATATTTATTGGTTGAAAAGAATCGAATATTTGATCATTTAGTTGCTGTGTGATGATGGTGTGTGTGTGGAAAAAAAACATACGAGAAACATGGAAAGATGGATATTTCAATTCACTAATGATTCAAAAATGTTGTAAATTATGTTATTATCGTGATGTGATTACTGAAATGAAATGAAATGAATGAATTTTTAATTAATTTATGCTTGTTTTTTTTTGTTCAAAAAATTGAAATTTTTAAAATTTTAAAAAGAAGCAAAAATCAATATGCGTGTGTGTGTGTGTTTCATCAATATGTTTCAAAAAAAAATTTGATGGAAAAATCATTATTATTCGATGTTTTACACATAAAGAAAAGTATTGCACAGAAGAAAAATCTCTAGTTTTTACTTTAAATAAAACCGCATCACAGTTTTTTTTTGTTTTCTGTTTATGTTTTGAATATTTATAAATTTTTTTTGTTTTTGTTTGTAATCATTTAATAGTTAGTTTATTATTTAACAATGATAATAATTTTATTAATATTTATAATTTATAAAAACAACAAGAAGAAGAAGAAGAAGAAATGAATTGAATTCTTTGTATTCGGGTGAAAATCTTCGGATGATTTTAATTTCAAACGAAACGAGGCCAGCAAATCGATAAATGAATCGGAAAGACTTTATTTTCTTCAACCAAACAAATGAATGGAATGAGTCTGTGTGTATCCAATATGGTAAAATGTTTTTTTTGTTTTGTTTGAATGAATCAGATGGATCTAATAAAAGTTTTTTTTATTACTATCATTTTCTGAATTGAAATGAAATGAAAAATCTACAATAATAAATAAATATTTGGTGCCATTGAAAAATAAATAAGTATGCATTGTGTGTGTGTTTGGTGTGTGTGTGACACATTATACAATTATGGTAAAAAAATTTATTTTATATAACCGTATTCGGTGGATTGATTGGTGGTGACAAACGAACGAAAACAGATTTTCCTTTTTGAAATGACAATCAATTTTGTTTTTTGAAAATCGCAAATAACGACATGGACGAATCTTTCTGGCAAATTTCTGTCGATGTTGTTGTTGGAATTTTTCATGTTTGAATCAATTTTTGCTGTTGTTGGATAAAATTATAATGAAAAAATAGGGCGGAAAAAGAAAAGAAAAAAATGTTTGTTTTGACATTGATGGAACAACAGAAAGTTTTCAGGAAAGTTTTTCACTTCAAAAGAAAAAGTTCAAGTGTTTTTTTGTTTCTGAATTGCTGGAAATTTTTTTTTGAAATTGAAATTTTTAACAGCTTCTGAATGAATGAATGAATGTTTCCAAGTGTCGATCATTTTGCGAATAAGATTTGTTTTTTTTCAATTATAAATTAGATGAAATAATGATTATATGTGTTGAGTGTATGCAGGTTGTCAATGTATATCGAATAATAACGTGAATAGATTTTTTGACATTTCAAAACAGAAACAGAGACAGAGACAAATGCCACACACAAGCACAAAAGACAAGATGATGATGATAGTGATAATGATGATGATGGTAAAATTTAATCAAATAAAGATCAAAATGAATTGAATGATTTAGTTGTTGTTGATGAGTTTGACGTTTTTCTGTTGAGTTGGTTGAGTGTTTTTTCTTTTCTTTTCTTTTTTTGCTATTTTCTTTTGCGATTTCCTATTTTCTTTCTAGGAAAATATTGTAATCACTTCACGGCCAGCACCTCTAGCCAATATAACACGTTCCAAACCTTCAGTAAGTACTTCAATAAATTCCATATAATTTGTTTCACTACCTGGTGTCATTTTTCTTGGTATACCAGGCATATTTATTATAACCAATTTTGATGCATGACTTTTATTTATAATATGTTCATTTAATTTTACTGCTGTATGCCTATATATATATGAGAATATGAAAAACAAGAAAATGGAAAAAGAAAAAAGAAAGGGTTAAAAAACGTGAGTTGAATGATTCTATTCGATATTTTTTTAATCAAAATGATTGGTTTTATATGGAGAATATTTTAATTATTTATTTATCATCGAATCGTCGAATTCTAGAATCTGTATTTTCTATTGTAAAAATTACTTACATTCTTCGTACATTCAATTCATCTGGTTTAATTGATTCGCTTGAATTAATAACTGATAATTCATTACCATATGCTTGTAAAACTTGTGTTCGTTGTTCCATTAATACAGTTCGTTCATATGTATAGGCGCTAACATCTGTGTTTGTTTTGTTGAAAATTCAATGACAAAATACAATACAATCACCAGCAGCAGCAGCAGCAGCATTTTCAGTCATCATACGGACAGGAATGGAAATGGAAAAAAGAGAAAGAGAAAAAAGTAAAAGTGAAAATCATTATAATTAGAACAAACATTTTGGAAAATTTTATTCATGAATGATAATTGAATATTATTCATCTCAGTCGAATGAATGAATGAATGAATGAATGCATTTTGATATAAAAAAAGTTTTTTTTTCATCTAAAAATTCATCTATTTCCGTATCAGAATGCCAACAACAGTAATAACAAAAGTAATAATAATAATAACAAACCTGTGTCACTCATTTCAATAACTTCAACCGAAGCTTCTATCCTTAGATGATAAAGAAATTTTTCCAAATCTTTTTTCATTTGTACAGAATTATCTTCTAATTGTGCTACGGTAAATACTCGTAACTTGCACGATTTCCATGTACGATGTTGTGATAGTACATAGGCCAATAATATGAGCTTTTTTTGATTTATTTGGTTGACGAGAGAGAAAGAGAAAAAAACCGAGAAAAGACAAAACGAAAAAGAAATGAAATTGCATTAGGTTTGTGATTGACAGCAATTTACAGTGGGGAATTGTTTTTTGCTTTCTTTTTTGTTTCTATCATTACTTACCAAACCACCATCATGAACAATCCACCAAATATCAATATTTCCACCTAAACGATCATTATTTTCTGGCCACATATTTAAACCTTTTGCAACAATTAATGCAGCATTTGCTGATGTTGCATGTCGTACAACGGATAAAAATCGATTATGTTTATCTCTAGATGTTGAATGACGCCATTTATGTGGCCATGCCATCAATACGGTATTATGTTTTAAACCACCTAAACCAGCTGTTTGTATTATATGACTTAAACCTTGTGTAACATCTTTAGTTATAATAACTTCAGCAAATCCTTTAACTTTTTCCTTATCCATTGAATGTCGTAATGATTGTTTAGCTGATTGAGCAATACCGGATTCGGTTTCAAAATTTCCATTTAAAACACTTGTTATAATTGTTAAACCTTTGCCTGCTTTCAATTGTGAAGCAAAGGTTAAGATTTTTGGATTTTTTAATTCCAATGTATCGGGATTCAATTTCACTAGACAAAGTAATTGTGGACGCCAATTTTTGGTATGTGGAGGACCTAAGTTCCATGAGAGAAAAAGAAAAAGAAAAGAAAAGAAAAAACGTTGTAATTTGATATTGGTAAAATAATGTCATTTCAGCGGAAAAAAAACAAACCTTCTTCCAATCTTAATAATGAATAACGTGCAGCACTTAATGCTAAACCACGTATACCATCACCCCATTCTTTTTCAGCACCACGATATTCAATATATTTATAAATAAATGCAGCTAATGCCATTGCACATAATGTATAAATCCATGATGATAAAAACATAACCAACAGGCAAAGAAATATACCAGCTAATGATATTGACCAATGATAATATTTAAAACGTGGACGCCATGATGGTGTACGTAATATTGATTGTACTGTACATGCCAAATTTAAAAACATATAACACATTAAGAAAAACATTGTTAATACTGGTGCAATAAAATCAAGATTTCCAATCACTAGAATCAAGAGGAAAGAGAAAATGAGAACAAAAAGATCATGATGAATTAGTTGATTTGCATAATTCAAAGAAAATCAGTGCAAAAACAAACATACGAATAGCTCCTTCAGCAATGGCCAATGAAACAGCAATAGCAATAACTGGTTCACCATGTTTATTAACATATTGTAATGGATCTAAAAATGGTATAATCTGATCTTTGGCAATTGCTTGTAGTAAACGTGGTGCACCAACTAATGATTGTAATGCAGCACCAAATGTGGACAATAATGCACCGGCTAATATTATTGTTGGATGTGGCCATGATATTAATGTTACCTGTGTGAGAAAACAAAAAACATAGAATTCATTAAAATCGTGAAGAAAATGATCAAATTTCATTTAAACTTACAGCCAATTCTTTTCCCAGTGATTCACCAAATTTATCACGTATAAATAATGGATTGTATGAAGCGCCAAACAAGAATATAACGGACAAATAAACAAAACTTGTTGTTAGCTGTGCAGCAATAGTACCTAATGGTATTGCTTTTTGTGCATCAGCTAAATCACCACTACGATTACTACCGGCTAAAATACCCGTACAAGATGGAAAATATATTGATACTAATATTGCAAACGATGTACTAATATCAACAAAAACATAATTAAATTGTGCCATCCATGATTTATTTTCACGATATTTTCCATTATCATTACTGACTAGATCATCTTTTTCACGAAATTTTGGCATAAAATTATCCCAAAATACACCCGAACTAAGACCCGGAATTGCTTTTTCCAATTTTATTGTATGTTGATTTTTTATAAAAAAATCATCACATGTACCATCATTTGTACCATTCAAGTTACAAAATACATCACGTAAACCTTCTTCAGTACAGGTAATATTATTTTTTGATGATAATATTCTACCACCAATTGTACATATTTGATATTTATCAATACCTTTTGTTTTTTTTGGAAAAAGAAAGTGTTAAAAAAATCATGCAATAATTTAAAATTGAAAAAATAATTACCATTATAATTGACAAAAATACCCAAATAAACACTTAGAATGGAAACCAAAACACAAAACAATGCGACAGGTGCAAATTTCGATACAAATCGTACACCGATAAATACCAATATACCAATAATTATTAAAAATATTGTACCATAAACACGTATATTATGATATAATATACTTTTATCGGCTTCAAAATCACCAAACAATGCTATTTCTGGTGAAATATAATTGAGCAATATTTCTACGGCACCAGTAATGTACATCTATGTTTTTGGAAATAGAAAAAACGAAATGAAAAACGAAAAAAGAAAACGAAATGAAAATGAAAAAAAAGAATTGAAAATGATCATCACTTGAAGATTATTATTATAGTTTTTTTTGGCTGGTTGATCAATGGAATGTTCTTGTTTCAAGTAAAAAAAAACGGTACAAAAAACCGTACAAAGATAGATTGATATGATTATAATCTTCACATCTTTTCTTTTCTTTTCTTCTTCGATGCAACTGAATGAACAACATGGACTGGACAATAGTTTTTTCCCTATAATAATAATCATCATCAATATTGATAAAAGTGCTGGACAGCAGCGAAAAGTGAAAAAGAAAATCAATCATGAAATAAATATCGACCACCATCATCATCACTACACACAATATATTTCGTGTAAAACTCGAAATAGGAAAAAATCGATAAATTATATTTTTTTTTCCTTCGATAAAATAATAATGATGAGGATTTTTTCTTTCTGAGAAAATTTGAAAATACAACACACACACACATGTGATATATTGGAACATAGATTCTATCGAAACACACAGAGAGCGATAGGTAAGTGGGTAGGCAGGCAGGCAGGCAGGTAGATATATCGAGAGAATACCAAGAAGTTCAATGCAGGTTAAAACCGAAAATAGAAAAAAATGCAATGCAGTGAAGCAAACATTTATTGTTATTCGATTCAGTTTTGTTGTTTTGTTAGTAATGAAAAAAAACTAAAACTAAAACCACTAAAAATCATATAAAATTGTAGAGAGAAACTAACCAAGACAAATTTCTTTCAATCGAAATAAAAAATTTGTCTATTCTTGTCTTCTTGTATTCTGTTTGTCTATTTTTGCCAAATCTAGTGATCCGAAAACTGAACGAAACTGAAACGAAAGAAAAATCCAATGAAATTCAAGAATCAAGAATTTCGAATAAGAAAAATCATTGCTGGAAATTGCAATTGAAGTAGAATCGATATATATTTCTCTCTTTATTCGACAGAAATTCATTGATTCTTCGCTTTCTTTCTTTTAACATTTCAATGGAGAGAAAATTTGTTCCCCCAAAAACTACGTAACTAATCTCATTCAAACAGAAATTCATTAATTTTTTCTAATTCAAATCACGCAATACGAATGAATGATTTTTTTTTCGCAAACCAAGGAAAAATTCATTGTTTGTTTCAACCATACGTACATCCTTTCAGATCGAATCGTTTGAAAACTAATTTCGATCATAATAAAAGAAAAGAATGTGTTTGAATGTCGTTGTCGTCATCGTCGTCTAATGATAATTAAACATCACCAAACTAATTCGAGGTGATGAAGAAAAAGAAAAAACTTTGAAATGGGGAAAAAATTTGCTCAATAATTCAATATTGATTAAGGGATTCTTCTTTTGTTTGCCTGAAAAAAAACAAGGAATCAGGAAAAATTCCGGAAAGGAAAATGCTGATGATGTTTACCGTAAACTTTTTTCAGGCAAAAAAAAAACATTCCGAATTCAGTTGAAACATTCAGGAAAAAAATGAAATTAATGGAAAACGAACGAAAAATTGTTGAAATTTTTGTTTTTGTTTTCAATTTAATAAAATTTGGGTTTTTTTCCGGTTTTCCCTTTTGGCAAATAATTTAAAAATAATTAACTCTTCACTATTCTATGTGGGGAACTTTTCATCGTCGTTGGTTGGTTGTCAGAACTTTTCATTTTTTACTTTTTAAAATTTTTAAAATTTTAAAAAAACATTCCAAAACGACAACATGCGAAACAAACCTAAGCTACTTAGTAACTAAATGATAATTTTCAAATTAATTTTCTGTTTTTCGTGAATAATTTATGTTGGAAAACAATGAAAAACATGGAAATTTTTTTTTGAAAATTTGAATTTCAACATTTGTTTTTTATTTGGTTTTTAAATGTTTTTTTAAATGAAAATGTTTTTTAAATGAAAATGACAAGTAATACTTACAGCACCAGCAACACAAGTACCAAGAAAAAATAATACACCAACAGCGCCACCAAATTCTGGACCAAGATTACGTGAAATCATAAAATATGATCCACCTGCAGGTACAATACCATTAGTTGCAACAGCGCTTAATGATATTGCCTTATTATTGAAAAAAGTTGGTTGGTTTGATTGTGTTAATTTCATTTCATTCATATGGCGTTCCATTCCATTCCAAAAAAATGTTGACAAATATTTGAACAACAAGATGATGATAAAGTTGATGGATGAAGTAATGAAAAAGAAAAGAAAAAAATGTAAAAATAGCCGAAAAAAAATTAGTATTCATATAACGGTTTAAATAGTGGAAAAAACGTATATATAAATCAAGCTTGTTTAAACACACAAAAAATTGTTATGCATAATTCAGAATATACACTCTCTCCGGTCGGTCGGTCGGTCGGTGTGTGGATATAAATTAAATAATCTAAAAATGGTATCAATAAATTATAAATTTGAAAACAAAAAAACAAAAACTTTGCACATTTTTTCTTATAATAAGGGTGGTCAAATTTAGTTAGGTTGAAACTGGTCGGTCGTTCGGTTAGTTTAGTCATATATAATTCGGTTTTGATGATAATGACAGTTGAAAATTTCATTAATCCTGAATGTTTTGTTTGTTTGTTGAAACAGTGAAAAACATACAGTGTGTTTTCATTTAATTTCATTCATTCAATCGTTTGTTTTTCTTCCCTCAAAACACAGAGAAGAAATGACAGAATTTTTTTTTCTCTCCATAATGATGATGATAATAAAAACTGACATGTTAAATGTCAAAATATAGATGCCCGAACGGGAAAAAAGCAGAAATTCCCAAACACCGAAAACAAAAATATCGCTCTAATTAATTGTAAAATGATGATGATGATGATAATGAATGAGACAGGCGAAAAAAACCTAAAACCGAATCGATGAAAATTGTTTGCTTTTTTCAATTTCATTAATGTAAATTTAGACATTTTAACAATTTTTTTTTGAAAATGATGATGTGATGTGACTTATACAAAAAACTTTCACATTGAATCACACAAAGAATCACATAAAGAATCACAAATGAATTCGTGTTAAGAATACGATAATGAGGCATCTTTATCATCATTATCGCATCGTACACAGAACACATTCCGAAACATTAAATTCAATCAAAAACATGAATAGAAAAAAAAATGAATGAATTTTTTTTTATGAAATCAAATCAAACCGAATGAATAGAAAAAATCATTAAAATTGATGATTGACAGTAGGACAAATGTGTAATATATATAGCCATTAATGTATAGCCACGAACAATCATCACGAACAAAATCAAAAAATATGAATGAAAAATTATTGACCATTGAAAAAGGTATTACATTAGTGATAATAGTTGATGATTTGTAAAATGATTGAATCATTTATTGGCGGAAAAAAAAATTTTCTGACAGCTATTAAACACGATAACAAAACGAAAAAATTGGAATTCATTGATGGAACAACAACAACAACAACAACAACAACAACAATGATAACAACAACAACAAATTTTTTCTATTCAATCAATAAATATGACATTCATATCACATATTTTCCTTTCTTTTCTTTTCTTTTTTTTGGATAATGATTTCAACAACAACAACAACAACAACTGACCGATGGCCAAAAAAAAAAAAAAATATTTTCATGATAGAATTGATCATAAGAAGTGAAAGAAGTGTGATTGTGAAATGGAAAACTAATATGTTTTTTTTTTTTGGTTCACACATGAATTATGTATGAAATGTTTTATTTTTTTTGACGCCATTCAAACAAAAGAAGAATACTAACAACAACAACCTTCGATAAGATAATGATGAGAATGGAATGTTAATAAAGGAATTATATTACCCAAAATGAATGAATGAGTTGGAATATTTATCGTTTTCTGGCCACTCGGTTCTTCTTCTTCTTCTTCTGGTTGTTCAAAATCATCAATAAAAATGTTGAAAGGACTACAATGGATTCCGGGTGGGGGGGAAATCACAGAGGAACAAAAAATTAAAGCAAAACTTTTAACGAATTCCGTGTTTAATATGAAAAACAAAAATATATTCAAATCGTCAACAACAACAAACCGGCCCTTTTCAGGAATTCATTTTGAGAACAAAAAAAAAGCTTAGAATTGAATCTTGGAATAATGAAGAATATTCCAAGTGAATTCAATATGTGTGTTTGTCAATTCATTCGGGTATTCCGAAGAGAGAGAGAGAGAGAGAGAGAGAGAGAGAGAGAGAGAGAGACCCGTTTTTCTTGCATCGAATGAATAGAAAATTAGGGAATTTTTATCTCATTACAAACAAACGAAGAAACAAGTTTTTTTTTATTTCCCATTATTATTATTCATGTAGGAAATTCTTATTCAGCAATTATAAACAAACAATATTCTTCCCTTTCATTCCAACTATTCAATCTGAGAATGAAACCGAAAAAAAAGACCTGAAAACGATTAGATTTTTTCACTGAGAAGAAGAGATCTATATCTTCCTGTTGTTGTTGTTGTTGTTATAAGTTGTTGTTGTTGTTGTTGTTTTTACAACACTAAAAAATTGTCAAGATCAGCAACAACAACAACAACAACGTGAACAACAACAACAATTGATAATCGACAATAGATTGAGCAATGATTTTCGTTTTATTCGATTCGACATTTTTTTTTTGTAAAATGTTTGTGTTTGAAAAACAAATTACGTAAATATCACATAACAGAACCAACAAACAAACAAAAAATCCAGAATAAAAAACAAAAACCAAAAATCCGGATAGATAACAACAACAACAAAATTAATGGATGTTTGTTTGTTTGCTGGTGTGTGTGAGCGATTGGTACAAAAGATTGGATGCCCGATCGAACATTGACAATATATTTGAGAAAAACATTACAGCATTGATCTTTTTTTTAGGCAAAAAAAACAAAACTAGGTCCAGAAAATAATGTTTTTTGGTTTTGGTTTTGCTTGAAAATTTTTTTTTTTTGAACACAGAAAGAAAACAAATACGATTATAAACATGATATATTCAAATCTGAAATGAAGAAAAATCAAAATCAAAATCAATAAATAATTTTGTTTTCAAACAAAGAATTGAAAAAGATTGAAATTTCAAAATTCAGAGCAGCATCACTGGAGAATGACACAATTTCCGTTGAATAGATTTATTTTCATTTCGGTCGGTGATGGGGGGATGATGGAGGGAAACACAAAATGAATATATTATTTTCTGCCATTACCAGAAGGAAAAAACGAAAAAAGAAATTGAATTTTCATGTCCAATTTCATCGCAAAAACATCATCATTACATTCTTTCATTATCACCACATAATATTCTTGTTTCGAATTCGAATGTTTGCGTGATCATCATCATCATCATCATCATCCGTGGTACACACACATATAACGTATTAGGTCATGTTCATAAATAATGTTTCACAGAACATTCGATTTGATTGAACTAAAAAAAAAATGGAGCAAAATTCAAAACTTTTTTGTTGTTTGTTTGTTTTTGTTTTTGAAGAATATATGAAAATGATAAAGATGATGGACATTATTTATTGACCAGAAGAAAAGAAAGAGTAACTTTCAGGCATAAAAAACTTTTGAAAACAAAACAAAACAAAAAAAAAGTCCACTTTATCAACTGAATTCATAAGCAACTTTACTGAACAAACTTGAAACATTTTTCATTTTTTTTTTTGTTGTTGTTGTTTGTGAAAACTTTTTGAAACTTTTTTTCCCCGAACAAAGATAGATAAAAATCATTGAAAAAAAAAACCGGAAAAAAATCTGCATTTCAAATCGCAAAATCATCAATTTCGAACCCGATAAATACCTGATATTTACCTGTACCGAAAAAAATTCCAATGAATAGTTGTGCTGAATACACAAACAACAACGAAAAAAACTATCAACGATCAATATACCAGAGAAAAGATTATTATTATTACTTTTGATTATTAATGATCTTGATGACATGTATTCTCAACAACAACAACAACAGACAAAAATCATCGAAAAACCAATAGGAATACTAATGAATAATGAATGAGAAAGCCAAAATCATCATCATCGAGATCAAATATCAACGTCATCGACAGAAAAAAAAATCAACATGAATCGAAGACATTCCAGAATTCTGTTAAACAGCCGAAACGTCATCAACGTCATTATTATGTTTTTTTTTGAATAATAACATTAACTATTCGGTGACCCTTTTTTTTCTCATTGATTAGTATTCTCTTTCTTTCGCAATTATCAAACCAGAGAATAAAAATAAATCTCAACGAATCATCCCTAGAAAATAACCCTAGAATTAAATTCATTAATGAATTCTATACACACCGCACACAATGTAACGAAATTTACCCGAAAAATAAATACCCGTATAATAATGGTGGACAAATTAATCGGCTACATACACACAAACACAAAACACAGTGACAGACAGATAACGAATTGAAAAACAAAAAAAAAACCAATCATAAACACGCAACAACAACAACAACAACATAGTATGATGGGTAGTGGCAGTAATAACATTCCGAAACCAAGCAATTATATAATCAAAAAAGACACAGAGAATCTGACCAGTCAAAAGAAAGTCAATAGAAAAGAAGAAAACATTTTTCAACGGTCAAGTTGAATGTCAACAACAAAGCAAAATGACAATCACAGATATCAAAATACGACGACAAACACAGAGGATAATAATGATAAATCTAAACATTTTTTGTTTGTTAACCCAGTTGTTGTTATAGTGAAAGGAAAGTCCCATGTTTCCCAAAAAAAATCGGTCGTCAAATCATATATATTTGATCAGATAAACAAACAAACAAACAAAATGTAAATATCCGGTTATCCGCATACACAGAGAGAGAGAGAGAGAGAGAGAGAGAGAGAGAGAGAGAGAGAGAGGCACCGAAAACCNAAAAAAAAAAAAAAAAAAAAAAAAAAAAAAACGACAAACACAGAGGATAATATAATGATAAATCTAAACATTTTTTGTTTGTTAACCCAGTTGTTGTTGTTATAGTGAAAGGAAAGAAAGAAAAAAGTCCCATGTTTCCCAAAATAAAAAAAAATCGGTCGTCAAATCCGATATTTGATCAGATAAACAAACAAACAAACAAAATGTAAATATCCGGTTATCCGCATACACAGAGAGAGAGAGAGAGAGAGAGAGAGAGAGAGAGAGAGAGAAACTTATCTTGACATCTCACCCTGATAATGATATGAAAAAGATTTTATGAGGACAGTACAAAAATTATCAAACGAGAATAGAATATTATCTTGGAATGAATTTTTCTGAACTGTTGTTTTGGTTGATTACCATCATTATCGTTAAATGTGAACGCAAAAAAAAAACATCAAGATGAACATGAAGGCAAGCAAACAAGCACGAAAAGAAATTTAACATTTGTTTTCCCGGGACGGATATTAAATTACATGCACATCTAACACTTAAACACACACAGAGGCAAAGAAAAGTTTCTGGCAAAAGTTTTTATCAAGGTTTTTTTTCTCGCTTTTGTTTTTTAAGGTTAAAAAAACAAAACAAAAAAAATGTAAAAGATAGTGCCACAAATGAAATGAAGAAACCTTTTTCCATTTGAATGAAAGTTTTTCTGTTTTAAAATCCAGAAAATGATGATTTTTTTGAAAATTTTTGAAAATTGAAAACAACCAAAATGGGAAACTTTTCAGGAAACTTTTTTCTGGAAAATATTTTTTCTTTTTTGGTTACCACAATTCTTTTCAACAACAAAAATTGTCAATTTCCAATGATGATGAAAAAGTCGAAAAAAATTCTGGATAATTCACCATGGAAAAAAAAGCCAGAAAAATTCAAACAAATTTTTTTTCAAACATCTGTTTTTCCTTCATTTGTTCGTTGTATTTACGTGCGTGCCTGACTTGAAAATTCTATGTGTTTGATAATCTAATTTAAAATTCCAAATGTCAATTTTTTCCTCAAAAAGTAAAAAAAAGAAGTAAAAAAAATGCCTCAAAAGACGAAAATATATTCCATTCATTTCATCGCTTATTCGATTCTTTTCATCGCTTTTTCTTTTTCCTTTCCATTCATTTCATTATCAATGTCTGTTTGGTTTGTTTCCTTTTTTTTCTGTGAATTTTATGATAATCATTTTTACCCTGACAAACAAACGAAATAAAATTCTGACATCATTTTTTTTTTGTTTTATTATCCATCATCATTTACAATCAATTTCTTGGTTTCTTTTCCTTTTCTTTCTTTTTTGTTTCGGTTCATTTCATTTCATTTTTGCAAATTTTCTCAATCCATAATGGTACACACATTGAGAATGCACACAAAATGAATGATAAAAAATGATATTATTAAAGGACCAAAGCAATAGATATTGGTCATGCAAAAGCACAATATACGCGCAAGCGATCCAAAAGGATCCAAAAAGAATCCATTTTCAAAAAACATTATATATCTGTATGTTTCAAACTACACACACAACATACATACAAAAAAAACTTTTGTAAAGAATCGAAAAATTCAATTCTCTACACTGTTTCTTCACACAATAAATGACGGAATGAATTGTTTGGCTGTAAAGGAATTTTTTCTATTTTTTTTCAAAGTTTCACTAGATATTTCGGTTATAAACCATTATTGTTTTCTATTTTTCGTTGGTGAACGATGAAGGAAGGAAAAAAGACAGACTGAATTCTCTTCCCCTCTCATTTTTCAGAAAAAAATATTGAAAACAACAGCAGCCTATATATAACGATGATGGAAAAATTGAACAGACAATCCATTTTGGAAACATAGTTCCATAGTTTCTTTTCCATAGACACTGTTGAGAATTTTGTTTGTTTTTCTCATTCTTTCATTGGCAATATGAATGTTATATAAAAATAATGGTTTTCAAAAAAAAAACTTACCGTACATAATGTAACCGAACAACATAATAATACGATAGCAAAATAAGCCGGTACACCGGCCGTACCTGTCATCCATGCCATACGTATAAAAATTAAAACACCAAATATATTCTGTAAACAAGGTAGATAAACACCGGTCAATACACCAAGATTAGCTTTTGGTTTTGGTTTGATTTTCGTAGCGGTTCCGGATGAATCTGTTGCACCCGGTGCACCGGGTTCCAATTCAATCGGTTGTATTGCATCATCATAATTAGCTAAACGTGATAATAATGATGATACACGTTTATCTTCATCTTCACTAAATAAAAACATTTGATTACGATCATATAAACTTTGTTCATTATCATCTAGAATGAGAGAAAAAAAAGAGAAAAAAAAAGAATTACAAATTTACAGAATTACAGAATTACAAACTACAAAATTACAAATTTATAAATAAATAAATAAAAAACGATTAATTATAATCAATCATTTAGCTATGCTATGTAATACTAATATATTATGCATATTTCATAAAGAATTCAAAGAATTTTTTTGGGGGTTGTAAACATCACTAATTTGGTTGTGGTTTGTTTTTTCGCTTCTCTCTTTCATTAACAAACAAACAAACAAATGAATAATTAAAAAACATAACTAGAAACAAAACTAGAAAATCCGAAAAAGCACGGAATATTCTCTAAATGAATTGAAATATAAACAAACAAAATAATATGTATGTAAACACCTTCATCCGATGGCAGTGATACAATGAATGGTGAAACAGCCGATGAATCGGCTGCATCATCAATACTTTTTATTGCTATTATTTGTCCACGTTGTTCATCATCATCATCATTATCATTTTGATTTTGATTTCGATTTTGATTATGATTTTGATTATTACGATTCGGTGTTGATTCATTTGATTTACGAATTTCATCTTCATCCACTGCGCTTACTTCAAATTTAGGCATACTACGATTATTTGATGATGATGATAATGGTGATGTTTCATTGATGGATGTTTTTGGTTCCATTTTTTTGCTGAAACGTTTCACTTCACAGATTCTATTTTGGAACAAAAATTTTTTCTGGCGAATTTGTCAATCAAAAGCACTTGATTATTATTATTATTGAGAAGAATAATACGAAGAATCGATGAAAATCATTTGAAAAACAAAAAAAAGTTAATCAAGCGTAATTCTTATTCTATGGAAGTTATGTGTGTGATTGGTTTTTATATATATGGCTTCGTTCGGTTATGAATATGGAAAAAATGAATCACCAAAAGAAAAACTTTCACTATAAAAAAAGATTGATTTATTGATGGCTGACTATTGGCTTTGTAAATTATGTGATTACGTTTTTTTTATTCGGTTGAATGATTATTATTATTGGTTGACCTTATTGAATGATGGAATTTCATTGAGCATTATCATTATTCACAAACAGAAAAAAATCGATAAAAAAAAAGTAAAAGCAGAGAATCGGACAGGCCTCCTTTGAAAAAAAGGTGAAAACATTCGTGGTTGGAAAACTGAAAACTGTCGAGAAAAATGAGAAAAATTCTTTCTTAGATATGACCCATTACTACATGACAAATTTCACATTTTGAAATGATGATGATGATTGGAAGCGAAGAAGAAGAAGGAAAAAAACGATGACAACGATAATGACAATTGAGATCGATATTCTCTTTCTTGGCTTTCAACTTTGAACAAAACAACAACAACAACAATAACAATTTAAAAGCTTGCTTTCAAACCAGAATTTTGAAATTTTGAAATTTTTTTTTGAAAAAAATTCCACGGAAGAAACAGAAAATGTTCAGAGAGGGAGAGAGAGGGAGAAAAGAAAGTTTTATTGTCTTCACCGGCAACAGCAGCAGCAATGAAAAAGAGTTCAGATAAAATTGACAGAATATGGAAATTCTTGATAAAGAATTTATCGGTTTATATAATTATCATCGAGAAACAAAAGGTAACGATAACTGGAATTCAACATTCACATTCAAATCGATTTCGAAAAATGAATTTTCAAAAAAAATTTATTTTATTGCACTCGATTCTTGATTCTTGTTTGTTATTTCTTCGATGAAATATGATATATTTTTCGATTCAAGAATTTAATGTTGTTGTTGTTGTTCTGTTCGACGACTGAGAAAAAAGCTGTTGATTTATTCATTATCATATCATGTCAGAAAAGTGAATGAAAACAGAAAACAGAAAAGTTTTCCATTAATTCAGATGTAGTGCACCAGGAGAATGTGAAAAATGCTTGATAAAACTTTCATCATTTTTTTTCAATGTTATTCCATTAGACATTGCATAGACGCACACACTTAACACACATAACACACACAGATGGATGAACATAGAGAGAGCCTCTAGGGCAAGAAAAAAAGTTTGCTTTTAGTGTTTGATTCTGATGATGATGATCATCAAAAAAGATTTGTAAATAATAATCATCACCTCACAAACCACCACTACTACATTATTTTTTTGCTGGATAGAATTACAGAATTCTTTTTCTTTACAGAATTCTTTTTCTTCTTTGAAATGAATCGTCGTCGTCATTCAACTAAATTCATTATCATCAATGTCATTATTTTCAATGATGATTTCGCACACTTTACAAACAAAAATAAACTCCAGCAAAACGCACATTCAAAAAAAAAATGCAAGTTATTTTCAACAACAACAAAATCAAGATCAATTCATCGATTTTGAGAAAAAAGTTCATCAAACTTATTACACAACGATGATGATGATGACTGGTTAAATGAATTAACAATGAATGTTTTCTCTCGTTTTGTTTCAATCAATGTTGATCATCAAAATAAATTGATCACTTTTGGAATAACAGAATGACTTGGAAAATTTTAGAAAAACTTAACACTGCGTTGAAAGACTGGGTCTTCTTTTTTTTTCTTGATGATGAGGATTATGATGATGAATAACGGAGCTAATTTTTTTTTTTTTGAATAACAAAAACTAAATCAGATGCAAAATGAAGAAGAAAAAAAAAAGATTTACAATCTTAACTGAAGAGAGCAAGAGATGATAAATATGAAGAAGAAGAAAGATTCATTCTATCTTTTTTCCTTTATTTATTCTGGCTTATCTGGCTTATCGTTCAAATCGTCTACCACTGTTTTCATTGTTTTCACCCCTTTTTTAGGCGAATCAGCGAACCAAAAAGAACTGGTGAAATTTTTTTTTTCAGTCGTCGTTTGGTGAATATAGAAATAAATTATGTTGAATATATTGCCGCATCGTTTGTTTCAATTCGTTTTTTCAAAAAAATAAAAATTTTTCCCTTCACATCATACATCTCTCTCTCTCTCTCGTTTTGTTGAATGCAACTTTGAATCAAAAAAAAAAGCTGGGAAAAACGAAAATCTGATGATTCTGAATTTTTCTTTCAAAAAATGAATATTTTTTTTTCGGAAAAAAAAACTAAACAAACACACAGAACACGAGGACAATTCTTTGATAAGTGTGTGTGTGAGACAACGAGAGAGAAAGAAAACAAACCGACAAACACACGGGCGCACAACCAGAATATCAGCGAAAGAAAACACAAAGAATCTGAATTTTATTCTTTATCAAGATAGAAAACAAGAATGATGATGATGGTTTAGTTTGGTTTTGGTTTGGTAAATATATTTGCCGAACACAACACATCACATATCAAAAATAATATTGCACTGGTACCAAATTTATGTAACCGACGAAGAAGAAAAAACAGCAGAATCTAGAAAACGATTCTAGAGAAAGAATAAAATGATCATCGTGTCATTGTGTGTGTATGCATGGACCGAACGATGATTAAGGAACCAAATGAATGAATGAAATGAACGAATTCTGAAATGATGATGATGACAACAACAACAACAAAGAATGAAATAAATAAATAAAAATAGGAAAATAGGAAAACAATACAGAATATATATGGAATATATATTTTTTGTTTGTGTTTTTGTTGGGTTGGTTTGGGTTGAAATAGCAACAAGAATAAGAGAGAGAATCGAGAGAATTTTGGATTCCATGTCAGTCACCAAAAAAAAAAGTGATAGAAGTATAGAAAAATGTTCGGAAAAAAGAATATTCTTAGCTGGAATTGTTGGCTCATGCTTCGTTCGTTTTTTTTCCATTTCTTTTCTTTGTTGTTTTCACTACTAAAGTCTACCGTATACTGTGTGTCACACACACATCACAGACCATACACCCAGAATTCAATGTAGTAGAATTTAACAACAGAATCCAATAGTGGTAGTGGTAGTAGAATGTAAAATTGAAAGTAAAAAGAATCGACTGGGAGAACCAGAATTTTTCTACCAAATAACAAAACAATAACAAACTAAAATCAACTACGAAAAAGCGAATCGTATCGTTAGAATTTCGCATATATAGAATTTCTTTATCATCATCATCATAGAATCGAAGAATATTGGCCTCTCGCTTGAAGAACGATACAAGATTCAAACAATCAAAAAAACTTCAATGCGCCGATATGGCAATCGGGTAAAAAAATGAAGAAAAACTGAAAAAACTCGATCAACTTAGCATCGAATCTTTTTCCTGTTATTACCACTATGTCAGAAGAATATTTTTTCATTTTCATTTTTTTTACCAATATTTCATAGACAGACAAACACACACAAAGAGACATTGATCATTATGATTTCGAATGCAGTACTTTTTTTTCATTCATTCATTCATTGAATGAATCTTATTTCGTTTCTTTTTGTCTGGTTTTTTTCTTTGCAGAAAAATACAATCCGACATCATAATGATGATGATGATGTTAGAATGGTAATTATCACCCGAAAAGAAAGAAACATTTTCATTTCAGTCCATTTCGGTATCCGGAATAATGAAAAAAAACTTGAACAGAGAGAAAATACCAGCGAAAGAAAAGATCAAGAATATTCTGTTTGTTCGGTTTGAAATACAGAATTTTCTTTCCGAATGAATTTTTTTTTCTACTAAAATCCACAAATCAAGGGCATTTCGATTCTCTCTTGTTTTCCAAATTACAAATTGGATTTTTCTTTTTTCCTTTTTATGTAAAGAATCAATCGAAAAAACCAGACCAAACCAAACCAACTTCAGGCCTATTCACTAATTAAAGTCGATCATCATCATCATCATCATATTGACCACCAAGCCAATTGATCAATCAAACAAACCGAGAGAGAGAGAGAAAAAACTTTCTTTCGGTCATGTTTTCTTTGCTTG